AGGGGTACATAGAAATAATTTTCAATTTCTGGCTATTATAATCCCTAAGAAACAGCTAAAATTATATTTGTTGCTAGGTTCTAAGCTCAGTATAGAACAGAAAAGCAAACCCTCGAGCAGGACCTCCCAACCCGCCGAGCGATGCGATGACGCGCGTGAGCAGTGATGCCATGTCAGTGTCGCGTGTGAACAGCGCGGGCCTTGATTTGTTTAGGGAATCAGGGTTAGGGTTGAGGGTTTAGGGGGCAGAGTTTTCAGGCCGGCTGAGTCAGTACTACCGTTAAATAACTTTCTTGAATATGGGCTGTTGTGTTTACATACACAAGTCCATATATATATATATATATAGACAGAAATATCACACACACACATATGTATATATATATATATATACACATAATATGTTATACATATATATATATATGTCATTCATTTAACTACTTGTTGGTTTGCATACATATATACACACAAGGATAGATAGGCAGTTGGATGGATGGATGGATGGATGGATGGATGGAATGCAAACGCATGGCTGACACATGACCCTGCCACACTCAAACTTTCAATTGCTCCAGGAAAGAACCCCAAGGGTCCAAGTACTTAATAATCATATGCTCACCGAAATCCTAACTTACATAACTACTATCCTAAAGCCGAGTACCTGATTATTGGGTCCTTTGGACCCATGGGGGAACAGCAACTGACTGGGCTATCTCCGGGATGACCCGAAGCCACAGCCAGTCGTGTCGGCTCACATACAGCAGCCGCCGGGTTGTTGCTAAGCTGCGGGTTTAGGGTTTAGAGTTCAGGGTTTAGGGTTTAGAGTTTAGGGTTTAGGGTTTAGAGTTTAGGGTTTAGGGCTTAGGGACTTAGAGTAAATATTAATCTGGTTTCCTTATTCTCATACCCTCAGCTATGTTCCTCAACAATAAACCAGAAGAAGCAACCACCCAGGTCTGGCAAGTGCCAGTGCCACCTGGTCCGCAATCACACCGGGGCTGTATTGTTTTCGAGAAATATACTTTGAAGCTTTAAGGCTTCAAGGTTAGACTGTTGTTGCTTGTTGCACATGGCTATTTGTAATTATCCAGGGTGTACTTAAAGGATAAGGGACTTGCCAAGTAGGTCCTAGTGCGAAGTTATAAGTACCTGAGGATGTTGATGTTCTCCTTGCATAGTTATGCATTGTTAGCTGTATACGAAGGTTTCCAGCTGATCCACTGCTTCTGAAGTTGTGCTATCCTAAGCTCTGTCGGCTTAGGGTTTGGGGCTTAGCGTTTACTCAACTCTTGAAACCCCTGAAACCCGCCACCGGATCCGTCTGGGTTGTTCTTTGGGATCTTTTTTGATTTCCCCTACTATTTTGTAGAGAACCATAATAGTAAATCATTTTCAAAGGGCTTAAAGGGCAACTCACAAGTGTATTTCCGTGTCCGTTCCTCGTGGCCCTGCCGCGACCTCGCGAGAAAGGACAGCGGCATGAATAATATAAAGGCCTTAATAATTGGAATAGGGTTTCCTTTAAGGGTTCCTTTTAAAGGGGTCTGTAAGGATTACTATAAGGGTACCGTAATATAGGGGCCTTAATCATTAGAATGTGGGTTTGGGCCACAGTGTACTAAAATTGTCATAAGGAACTCCCAGGAATGAATACCAACACCGAAACCCTCTTTGTCGACCTGTGGATCCAAAAACCTATCGTTTCGAGGGTCAGACCCTCTAACTAAGGGGTCATAACCTACTCTTTTGTAGGGGTTTGGGGATACAGGGAGTTCATGTTTAGATGTTCAGGGTTTCGTTTCTAACTAGGGTTAAAAACTTGTGAGGAATGCCGTTGTAATGATTCTGGAAAGCTCCGGGACCCCTAAAGCAGATCCCAAGCGCCCTGAAATTAGGCACTGGGGGTTTCTTACAAGAAAGGGTGGCGGGGTGCCACAGAAAGTAAGATCCTACTTTCATGGTTTGTGTTGTGTTCCGGATTTTCTGAAGCTCAAATATTTCACTCCGATCAGGTTCCTTTTCAGTAGTTACTTCTGGCCCGAAAGTATAGCACGGAGAGCCCAATAAGGAGCAGTTTGGAATATTTACAGAGAGTGTTGCTATGAATGAGGAGATGTTCCTAAGTGCCTTCAACATGGCGGTTTGGGAAGCCTCTGCTGTTTAGAGCGGAGACGGAAGCAGCTGCACATATCCTGAATATCGGTGTTTCCCCATATCTTCGTACAAAAATGCAGTGATAGTTAATAGTTAAACCAAATCCCCTAGACGGTTTAGGGTTTAGGGTTTCAACTTCTCGACCGATTCCGGAGCAAGTGAAGATTCGAGCGGCCAGTCCGGCTGGACAGCTGAGGCATCGATGAGATTGCATTCCAATTCGACCGTAAGGACTGTTGCTGAAAACCATGGCTTCCTTGGAGGGTCATGGGACTTGGTGACTAGGGTTATAAGTAAGGTAGCTATAGTTTTAATTACATATAGCTCAAAATAATGGTACTCACAATAATCCACCAAGTACCTTCCTTTCCTGTTATGTTTCAAGTGCGTTCAAGCTCAACAAGCATTACCTCCGCTACCGTTCTTTTATAGGATCCTTAAGGGGGGGTGGTTCAAGGGGGGAGGGTACTAGGGAGCTTTGGGGAACCTTAGGGAAGCTTAGGGAGTATTGGGGAATAATGGGGATTACTAGGTTACCTACCCCCCTTGGACCACCCCCCCCTTAAGGACATCCTAATTCTTAGACCAGAGATCATGGGTCCTCCCGCCCTTCCGATAAAGGCAGCAATCCGGCGGTACAGGATTGGCATACTAGGACCTAGAGTAGGCCCTTATTCCCTTTTTTGGGGGTTCCGGTTCCCTTATAAGCCCCTTTAAACCAAAAAGGGCACCCTTTTTATTCCTAGGCTACTCTTGGGTCTAGCATACTTTTGCTAGTGTCATATACAGCACAGTCATTTCTTGTGGTACTGGTACTGTCGGCTGCATGGCTGGCACAGGTGTTTTGCTTACGCTGCTGCTTCACGACCCCGAACCTTAATCCAGAACACTCCTAAAGTAGTGACCCTTAATTGTATCTAAACTCGTCGTTGAGGCGTCCCTGTAGTTATAGTCGTAGTCGACGTCGTCGTTCTCCTTGTCGTCGTAGTTCTCTGAATCCGCTCCCTCCCCAGACCCCCGGGGAGGATCCAAAAAGTACATCCCGGACCCCTTAATGGGGCTCCTATAAAGTACCCTTACTAGTATAGGGCCCCAAATTAGGGGATCTACTTTCTAGATCCTTTCGGGGGTCTGGGTCAAGCGGCACCGGAAGCCTCACATAAACCTGCAGACCCTCCCAAAAAAACACAAAGAAGGCTGCAAAACACTACTATAGAAGCCTAAATAATTCACAGTATTATTCCTCATTATAGCTATACTATAAAGGAGCCCAAAACCGTGTTCTGATTATTAAGGCCCCTACACTACACAACCGTGTGCGATCTTACAAGGCCTTATGAAGCCACCCCAATCCCTAAACCGGGGTTTGCTGGGCTCCCACTCTGAGCGCCGAAAATTTAGGGTTTGAACGGGGCCTTATAATGATCTGAAGAGGATTGGGGTTTAGGGTCTAGGGTTGGGGGACTATATCCGACAGAAAACTTACAAGGGGGTTGAGGGAGCTAATTCTGGAGTCTAGATTGGGGTTCAGTGCTTCGGCTCTACTTGGAGGATCATGGAACTTAGAAATTGGGGTTGTAAATAGGGTAACTATAGTTATGACTGCTTATAACCCCAATTAGGTCACTTAGAACCTTACTTAGGGTTTAGTAAACCCCAAACCCTAAACCTTAAAGCCTAAAGGTTCAACACGGACGCGAGCACTGGCTACAGTCGGCTCGTGTCTGTTTCTTCCACGATCTCACCAGGCGCAGAACTTGTTCTTTAGGGCTTCAGGGGGTTTTAGGATGTGTAGGGACTTTAGGATTTGGGGTGTTAGGGCTTGAAGGATTGGGGTTTGGGGTTTAGGATCTTAGAACTTGATGCATGGGTTTCCGGGTTTGGGGATCCGAGGTTCACCGGCTCACAGGGTTTACGGTTTAAGGTCCAGGGGTGTGGGTGGAGACTTTACCTATAGTCTCCATTATAGCTCCCTTGTTTTGGGTTTAATCAGTTTTCTATGTAGGGTCCTACACAGTAACCCCAAGAAAGGAGTTACAATGGAGACTATAGGTAGTCTTTAGTGATGAAGGCTTCAGCTAACCCCGCAATATACCCCTTGTAGTAATCCTTATAAACCCCTTTGACAGGAACCCTTATATTAAAGGAGCCACTTTCAAGGCCTCTAGAATATGACATTACTGCAGCCGTGGAAGAGCCAAGACGTTGTGGCGGCCGCCAGCTCGATCCTACTGCATCCTGTGGGCAGCGTGCAGTTAAGATTAATGTAGGAACTTGATTAAGAAACCCTGGGCCTATAGCCCCAAAATAGTAGGAATCTGTTGAAGTTGTGGCGCCTGTAAGAGTGCCGTTCAACGCTTCAGACATGTTAGCTAGGAGGGTGTGCACAGAAGCCCCTCATGCAGACGGCCTGATTGCCGCGCACGATGGCTCAAGATGAGAAAACGCGGTTCCGAAGTGAGGCTCCAAGGAGCCGTTGTTAGGGCTGTGTTTGGGGTTGTTGTTTTGGGAGTCGGATTGGGGTTTCCTCTGTTTGTGGTGCCCCTTAGGACCGAATCCTACGCGAGAACCCCGTGTGATTGTTGTCTTCTTCGGAAGGCCCCACATTCTTGTTCTCAACATTCTTCGGAGAAGGAGGTCTTCGTTGCTAGCTATGGCTTCTGCAGATTCGGGACGTGGCCCTGAGCGTCAACAGGTTATGAGCCCAATCTACGAACGTTGCTTCGCACACTGCAGAGCCTAGCGCTGCCAGACTGGAAGGTGAAGTGGCTGGACCCAACTATGAGAGGCCGCAGCTGCCTAATGGAGTTGTCAGATCTCCTCAACTGTCGGATTCGCCGGCAGGAATGGAGTCTCTGCCTTACTCCCCGACTACCATTCCTGGTGGCAGAGATGCGGCGGCCTTTTACTCAGAGGCTTGGCCAGCCCAACCGGAGGCCGTAAGGCCAGGTCCTGGTGACCAGCGCCACGTGGGAGAAGCACCGGCGGCGTCGATGGATGCAAAGGTTGGGAGATTTCTTCCGACAGCATGCTGCGATGGAGACCTTTACGACGATGACAAGGCAGCAGTTTGTGACGCCATCGGGCACTGGAGCTGGGTTTATGGTGCAGCAGCAGGTTCAGCATGCTTCGCAGCCTGCGAGTCCACACCCGGAGTCGTTGGGCGCCGGAACGGACTTGGCGGCACCTACGATGGAGCCAAATCCACCGCTGTTTGGACGGCAAGCGAGAAGGGCGATGGAAGCTTGGAATGCTCAAGCACCGTTGCTTCATGGACCGCGAGCTCCTGCAGCCACAGATGAACAGTCCTCGGATTTAATCCCGAGAGAACTGGTGGAGTCCGAGGTTCGTCGACAAGTTCAAGAAGCTCTTCGGGCTCAACAACAAAGTATAGAAGACTTGCGAGAAGAGAACAGGCGCTTGAGACGACAGGCGCATTCGGCACCAACCCAACCGGATGTTGGCGCCGATGTGGATGCGGTCTTTTCGGCAGCTCGTGGGGATCCTGCGGGTGATGGTGCTCCGCGTGTACCAGGAGATGCTCGGGCTCAGCTCACAAGTCATGGAGTACTTGGAGGTGATCGGGCTTATTTGGTTCCGCGTCTACCCGGAGATGCTCGGGCTCAGCCTACAAGTCATGGAATACTTGGGGGCGATCGGGCTTATTCTTCTCAGGAGCTACCCGTAGGTGCTCGGGCTCAGCTTACAAGTCATGGAGTACTTGGAGGTGATCGGGCCTACTCTTCTCAGGAGCTACAAGGAGGTGCTCGGGCTCAGCGTACAAGTCATGCCGTACTTGGGGGTGATCGGGCAGACTTTCTTTCCGATGTACCAGAAGGGGCTCGGGCTCAGCTTACAAGTCAGGGAGTACTTGGAGGTGATCGGGCTCATATTGGCACAAGTCATGCAGTACTTGGGGGCGATCGGGCTGTTAGTGCGATACGGTCTGATGATGGTCAGGCTCCGCTTACAAGTCGTGGAGTACTTGGAGGTGATCGGGTCCCCTTTAGCTTTGTGGAACAGCCAGAGGGTGGTTCTCGTCTGACTGGAAGGGAGGTAAGGAGTGATTCCATTGCAACCGAGCAGCGAGTCGCTAATGGCCCATCTCTCGAGGTACGTGGTGATCCTGGAGCAGGTGGTCTACGGCAAGGTCGCGAGGGTGTTTCGGCGGGGCGTTTGAGTGATGGACGCAGGGCGTGGTTCGAACGGGCCTCGAGGCGTGCAAGTCCTGAAGCCAGGAGCCGGGTGGCCTCACAGAGTCCCGGGAGAAGTAAGATTACTTCTGCGGGACCTAATGTTCGGGGACGCTTTCTTCGCCGAGGCGCAGGTGATCTCTTGCAAGGTCTCAGTGATGGGGACATGTATGGAGTGAGGCCAATGGAAGAGGCCTACCGTGTGAAGTCGATGGAGATTGACGGTACCTTCGGTGACTACAATGGAGGATTCCCGCCTGGCCTCGGAGGGACCAGTCAGGGAGTTGGCCGCCCAGAAGATGTTCAAGAAGCTCCCACGCAGTCAGCTGGGTTGAACCCTAGCGCGGAACCCGATGGTCCGCAGCCTTCCTCTCAGACTCCAAGTCCGCTGGATGTTCTCATAACTGGAATGTCCCAGTTGCAGCAGGTCCTCTTGAAGCAGAAGGGAGGGGACACCATGGACTTGGAACCGAAGGCGGTGGTGGAGTTATCCAAACTCCCTGAGTATACCCCGGAGTCTGGCGCTACGGATTTCCAGGACTACCTGTACTTGACGGAGCAGCAAGTGGGCAGTTTGGCTTCTGGAGCTACCGACTGGTGGCAGCGAACTCTACAAGTAGCTCAGCGTGCTTACGGAGAGTATCAGTCGCTGTCGCCGATGAAGAGATTGAGCGTGAAAGCGGTTCTACCGGAGGACCTCAAGGAGGAGAAGTATAAAAAGCTGAAGAGGAAGGTGGCCTCGCTTCTCCTTAACTCCCTGCCGAAGGGCGTCCGAGATGAGTTGGTGGCTCACAGAGTGCAAGGGGTCCACCAGATCCTTTTCCGGTTGATGGTGGTCTTTCAACCTGGAGGTGCTCAGGACAGAGCGCAGCTGCTGAGACAGCTGGATGTCAGTGACTCAAGTCCCGGGCCAGCGGAAGCAGTGTTGGCCATAAGGAAATGGTACCGCTTACTCCAGAGAGCTGCAGACCTCAACATTGCGTTGCCGGATGAGTCGCTCCAGGTGAGGTCGTTGTCCAATATCGTGAGACGCACCGCGGAGGCCCACGGCGACTTCAAGTTCAGGGTTGCACTGGCTAAGACGGAGCTTCAGATAGACTCGAGGCCGAGTCAACAGAATGTGATGAAGTTCCTCCACCACCTGTTGGCGGAGCTTGAGCAGCTTGGTGCAGGAACGAAGAAGTCTTCGGCGCCTACGGCTTCTCCCAGTGGGACCTCAGCGACTACGGCAGCTACTACCACTACGACCCCTCCGTCGCTTAAGGGTGTGCAGCCTACGAGCGATGGCGGTGCTGGGGGAAAGGGAAAGCAGAAGGGCGCGGTGCCTGCCGCAAAGCGCCCCTGTCAGTGGTTCAGCTCAGACCAAGGGTGTCGGAACGGGAAGCAATGTGGCTTTGTTCATTCGTGGACTGGCTTGAACCGAGGTGAAAGATGTTTATTGTGCGGTTCGAAGCACCACAGAGCTAAAGAGTGTACTGCTGGAGGAACTTCGTCACCGGAGAGACCGACGCCTCCGCCTCCACCCAGGAGTTCGGGAACTACATCTACTCCATCGGTTACGGCTTCGCCCATTGCACCGTCCCTTGCGAAGGCTACGCCTGCGGCCTCTACAACGACGGCTGCGCCTGATCAGTCTGAGGCCACTGGCTCTGGTGGTAATGGGAACAAAATAGATACTGCGAAGATGACAGAGGTTTTGTCGGAAACCAACAAAATGTTGAAGGCATTGGCATCCCAGTCCGGCGGCACGGCGACGGCCACGGTTGACCCGCTTGTCCTCATCCAACAACAACTGGACGAGGTGCGACGCCTGAAAACCTTGAGGGTTCAGGAGCCTGGCCAAGGGATGTGCTCATTCAACAGTGCGGTGACCTGGTATGAAGCCAGGCTCAATGCTACTTCGTTGAGTTCTGATTCGGCAGCACCCCCTGAGGAGGAGGCGGAAGCCTTGTTGGACAGTGGAGCCAGCCACCCTTTTCGACCTCCGCGATCTCAGGAGGAGCTGGACCGAGCAAGACGTGTGAATGTCTCTTTAGCCACTGGTGATGGGGCTCTGCTGCCTCAGACGGCTGAGGGAACTCTCCTCGCGGCAGGGGGCGACGATACCCCAATCATCCCGATGGGCCAGTTGGTTCAGATGTTGGGGTGCCAAATTAAGTGGACGAAGTCAAGGCTTACTGTACATCATCCTGTGCACGGCCGCTTACAGGTACGACTGCGGGGCAATTGTCCGGTTTTGCCGGTGAGCCAGGCCTTGACCTTGATTGCGGAGCTAGAGCAGGCCAGGGTGACAGAGTTTCAGCGCACCGTCGATGGACTTCAAGCTCAGGTTCGTGTGTTGCGAGAGCAGGGAAGAGAAGAGTGGACTTGGCAACACCACCTTCGTGCATTTTGCGAGGAGGGAAAGAGGACCTCTATGGCGGGGTTTTTGCATCGTTGCCCTACCTTTGCAAGCGTGCCGGCTGAAGTGTTGTTGGGGATACCAGAGGATGTTCCGTGCGACCTTCAGGATGGGTGGAAGCTGCTGAAGGGCATGCCTTGGTCGAGGGCGAAGCGGAAGGCGATGTTCAGTAGTACATCATGGACGGTGCACTTGTTCTCGGGGAACGAGAGGGCTATGGCGGCGAAGTGCACTTCTACCATGCGGTCCTCTTTTTGGAGTGTGGCTCTGGAGGGGGACGAGGTGATGGTCAATGTGGATATCACCGACAGCCGGGCCCTTGATTTGACAAGGCGCGATGCGGTCTTCAAGGTGCTCTGTTGGGCAGCGCTGTCGGGTCGTCTTAAGGCCATTGTGGGAGGACCGCCCAGACAGAGCTATCCGGCCCCAGTCCATCCGGATCAGGGGCATCCGCAATATCAAAAGGAGACTCAGTTGATTACCCGCATGATGATGTTGTGGTACATTGCTGAGGAAGGACGCTGCAAGTCTTGGAGGCAGGGGATGTTGCGGAGGTCAGTCGTCAAGCCCCATGTCGGGTTCCTGTTGGAACATCCTGAAGGCGGACACCGGGATGATCGGCGATCCCTCTTCTCCTCTCCTTTATGGCGGGCCTTCTCGTTCGATGCCTTGATGGGGGAAGTGGCGTGTGTTATGAATGGAACACAAACGGTGCTGGGAGGTAATCTCGACCTTTGGCATCTACAAGGAGCGGAGCTGGGAGCCGTTCTCCCGGGCGACCCCATTGGTTCAATGTGGCCGTTGGAGCTGGTGGCGAATGTCGCTCATGCCCTAAGATCCTGGGTTGGACTGAGGCGAAAGGAGGGCCTGTTGTCTTCCTTGATGCGGAGGTCTTGGATGGGTTTTATGGAAGAAGCACATGAAGGAGGTGACCTTCCTGGGGCGTCACAGGATGAACGTGGAGGTGGAGATCCCCGGCTATGCCGGTTTGATGTGGATGAGTGGCGTCTTCATCTACAACGAGATCATTTGCCATATAGAAAGGACTGTCGGGTTTGTGTCGAGAGATCGACGGGGAAGCCGCACAGGCGAGTGAGCCATCCAACGGCTTACTCTCTTTCTATTGATACGGCTGGCCCCTTCCGTTCCACAGGACCAGCAGGCCACAAGTACCTTTTGGTTGCTTGCTACAGGTTCCCCAGGCTTCCTGGCACCAAGATCGATGATGAGAAGACCGAGAAGGTCGATGATGGCCATCCAGTTGCGGGGCCAGCTCCTGGTGAAGATTGGTTATTTGAGGATGGCGATCCTTTGGGGGAAGTACCTCATCCTGAGGTCAAGGAACCCAACGTTCCAGTGGTCCCGGAATGTGACCAGGTGTCGAAGGATAAGGAAGATGCGGAGATCGAGGCCTTGAAGGAGCTGGCGGAGCCCCTTGAGTTCTCCTCTGTCTACATTGTTAGGCCCATGAAAGCCCGGAAGAATGCGGACACGTTGAAGGCGGTGCAGGAAGCTTACATCCAGCTTCGATCGTGTGGCCTACCAGTACACAAACTTCACGCCGACCGCGCCCGGGAGTACACTACTAACCAAGGAGTGGGCCGCTAGCCGGGACATTGATTTGTCAACAACCCAAGGCGATGATCCATCGCAAAATGGAACGGCTGAGAGAGCTGTTCGCTTCCTGAAAATGCGGATGCGCATATTACTACAGCAGGCGAAGGAGTTGAGCGGGCTGTCTACCGAGGTTGTCGCTTCTTTGTGGCCGTACGCGGCTGAAACCGCCTCGGCTCAGCAACAAGCGGAAGTGTGGGGTCAACCAGCCCCATCGGTCGCTCGCTTTGGCTCCAAGGTCTTCACGAGACGAAAGGGCTATGGCCAAGGAGGCCGAACTGATTTACTGCCAAAGTGGGTTGAAGGAGTGTATCTGGGCCCTGTGCGGTCGGTTCCTGGAGGGCATCTGGTTTTGACGGATGAAGGGAATTTGTGGTACACCACGAACGTTCGACAGTTCAAGGACCACCCTACAGGTGAAGGAGGTTCAGACGCTGATGGAGAACATCCACCTCCTCCTCCACTTCGGCGAGTTCGACGAAAGAGTTCCATTGTGGACCTGGCAGGTGGCGTGGGTCTTATACCGGGCTTTGACAAGGATATCGTCGCCGAACGGGATGAGAAGGATGGTCTGAGAGCTCTGGCCAAAATTGCCAAAGCGGATGTAGAGCTGTCGTCAGATGATGTTGTGTCCGGTGGGATGTCAGTGGGCCATGAAGAGGGCCTTGAGAGCTCGGTGTCAAGGGGGTCAAACCGCCAAGGTGAAGGGCCTCTCGCTGAACTTTATCTGTGTGAAGGCCGTTTCTCGATGAGTGATTGTCTAGCGGTGTTAGAAAGTGAGCGGTTCCGGAAGACCAAGAAGCAGAGGACTGCAGCATGGCAGGCCAACGATCCGCCCTCTGTTCACACAACACTGGGTGCGTATCAGCGAGGTCCTTGGACGGGGGTGACTACAGCAACAGCAAGACATGGGGGCTTGGCGTCCTACCTAGCTGCGATGCTGAAGCATCACGGAGGAGACAACATGGAGTTTTCTTCTTTGACGGTGGCTAAGGATCTCAACACCGATGCTCACAAGGACCGGTTCAATATGAGGGGTTCGCGCAACTATGTCCTCACCCTCGGGAACTTCAAGGAGGGAGGTATCTGGCAAGAAGGTACCAGTGAGGGCTACCCCACCGTGCACATGGAGCTGGGTTCCGGGGAACACCGAGCTGGCTATGTGGAGCCGGTTCGTAACAAGGTTGTCCAGGTGGATCCCAAAAAGTTACACAAGACTATGCCGTGGTCTGGGGGTCCGAAGTGGACCATTATTGCCCACACTATTGGGCAGTGTAAGAAGCTTGATGATGAGGCCAGACGGAGTTTGGAGCATCTGGGGTTTGTCCTTCCTCCACAGCCTCATCTCTGTGAGCTGAGGGCTGTTCGGTGTGATGATGATTCTGGTCCGGCGGTGGTCGAAAATGGTCCCTGTTGGTTTCCGCCTCAAGAAGATGTGGAAGGGGAGATGTGGACCCGTATGTGGTCTAGGAGAGTCCTAGATGAGGAGGAGCTCTTGGCCTCAGTGCTTCCCAGGTCACTTGCTGATGAGTTTGAGGGTGTTGCAGATGCAGTGAATGCAGCGGCACGGTCGCTGGAGGTCAGAGAGTCTGTGAGTTTACCTGATCGGCTTGGGGTGGAACAATGGATGTCGCTATGTAGAATGACCGAGGGCACTGACGAGGTACATGGAGTTGAGTCTCTGTTGGAATCGTTGTCGGGTCCTCTGAAGGTTGTCTACACTGTTGCTTTGGATGAGGTCAAACAGTTCATCTCAAGGTGGACAGCATCCATCGTCAAGGAGGCCGACGCGCTGATCAAGGCGAAGGCTTTGGTTCCCCTTACAACGGAGGAACAGCGAATCCTGGAGCGATCGGGGAAGCTAATTATCCTTCCTGCAAAAGGGGTTTTTACCGTGAAGCCCCCAGATGGAGAAGCTCCAGCTACAGAAGGTGGTATGCATCCTCCCCCAGGTGATCCCTCCTTCTACAAGCGCAAGGCGAGGCTGGTCATCTGTGGAAACTTCCAGGGCAAGCAGTCTATGGAAGACTCCTATGCTGGAGGCTGCCAGACGGACAGCCTGAGAGTGATGTTAGTTCATTGCGCTGCATTGGGATGGTGTTTAGCCTCGACTGACATTCGAAATGCCTTCATTCTGGCTCCGATTCAGGAGGAGGATGATGAGGAGGAGGCAGTGTACGCCCTCTACCCTCCTAAGGTGTTTCAGCTGGCGAAGGTTCAGTATGCCTTGCGGTTGTGGAGAGTAGACCGGGCTCTTTATGGTTTTCGGCGCTCTCCTCGTCTTTGGGGAAGATTTCGGGACAAGCGACTACGCAATGCGAAGATCCCCTACGGCGATGGCTACATCTACCTGAAGCAGCACAAGGCTGATGAGAACATTTGGTCGGTCTGCGTTGTCTCGGCAGACGGTTCAATCAATGTGAGAGCCTATGTCAATGTGTATGTCATCTATTGTATGTGGGAGAAGCGGACGTTATTCGTGAAGTTCAGCCATGGCTGACCAGTGAGTGGAAGGCATCTGAGTTGACTTGGGCAACTGAAGAAACGACCATTCGGTTCCTGGGCCTGGAGATTGGACGTACAAGTGAAGGATCAGTGAAGATCCATCAAAGGGGCTATATTGAAGAGCTTCTGAGGCATCATGGTCTTTCTGAAGTACGAGGTCATACAACTCCGTGTCCTCAGGAGTAGGAGGAGTACACTCCCGAACAGCTGCGCAAGGCGCAGGCTATCACGGGGGAGCTTTTATGGTTGAGTGGCAAGTCGAGGCCAGATCTCATGCACACCATATCTACTATGTCCTCGTGGTGTTTGAAGAATCCTATCTTAGTCGAGCGGATTGGAATCCGCGCCTTGGGGTACCTGAAGGCCACGATCGGCCTTTGCTTGGAGTACCACCCAGTGCGTAAGGACCACTACGTAGAAGCGTTTTCAGACGCCTCTTTCGCTCCCCACGGAAGCCGCAGTGTTGGTTGTAGTTTGGTTCGGTACCTACAACAGCCAGTCGCGTGGCGCTCCGGACGCCAGGCCCTTGTGGCTCTTTCCGTTGCAGAGGCGGAACTCATCGAGACCGTCAACGCTACTCAGATGGCCTACGGCATCTCGGCGATCACCGAGGAGCTCCACCAGGTTCAGGCGGAGATCACTGTTAAGGTGGACAATGCAGCCGCCGTTGGCCTTAGCAACGAGGCCGGTGGCAGCTGGAAGACACGGCACCTGAAGGTGCGAGCTTTCCATTTGCGGGAAGCTGTACGTCTTCGTGAACTACGAATCGAGCACATCCCTGGCAAGATGCAGTTGGGTGACCTGGGGACGAAGGCGTTTAGCCGACCCCGCTTAGTTGAGCTCCTGCACCTGCGGGGTCTGAAGACGGAAGGGGGTGGTGCTGAGAATGAGGAGGTCGGCCAGTCCGATCACCCAGCCAAGATCAATGGTACCTTGGCGGTCCTTGCCAAGTTGGTGCTCATTATGGGCTGGATGGTTCAAGGGTCTAGAGCCTCTACCACTCAGGACCGAGAGGAACGAGGAATCGAGGTGAGCATGCCGTGGGAGCTTTACGGACTTCTTCTTCTGGGCCTGATTGCTTCTATTGGCGTGTGGGAGGCGATCAAGTGGTTCTTTGAGTGGGTTTCCTTGAAAAGGAGTGGGTCGGTTGAGGAATCACGTGGAGCGCGGCGACTTCGGCGGCTACAGCAAGCTGTTCAAGAAGAGGTTGCTCGTTATGGACTCGATGATCCCGTGCAGGATCGAGCCCAGCCCTCGACTCCGCGGCCTCCCTCTACGAGGTCGACTCCTCAGGTCTCGCCCTTTCAAGCGAGATCATCTTCTACGCGAAGGACAGCTTCGATAGCTGTCCAGACCGATGTGCAGCCAGACGGCTATGTGCCGTTTCAAGGGCCTTTTGTGATGAGCGAGCACGGTGATCGAGTTCACCATGATGCAACATGTCACGGCCTTCGGAATGCCACGACAAGGCGGCGACAGGTGACTTTGTGTCAGTACTGTCAAAGGCGCCAACAGCTTTTTTCATATGTGGGCTAGCGTGAAACACTCCCGCAGCCCAAGGAGGAGTGTTGAAGTTGTGGCGCCTGTAAGAGTGCCGTTCAACGCTTCAGACATGTTAGCTAGGAGGGTGTGCACAGAAGCCCCTCATGCAGACGGCCTGATTGCCGCGCACGATGGCTCAAGATGAGAAAACGCGGTTCCGAAGTGAGGCTCCAAGGAGCCGTTGTTAGGGCTGTGTTTGGGGTTGTTGTTTTGGGAGTCGGATTGGGGTTTCCTCTGTTTGTGGTGCCCCTTAGGACCGAATCCTACGCGAGAACCCCGTGTGATTGTTGTCTTCTTCGGAAGGCCCCACATTCTTGTTCTCAACATTCTTCGGAGAAGGAGGTCTTCGTTGCTAGCTATGGCTTCTGCAGATTCGGGACGTGGCCCTGAGCGTCAACAGAATCATATAAGGAACCCTCATAAAGGCCCAAGGTTCCTTAATCAGGTTTCTACATTACCCATAGGCTCCATGGTAGTTCCTTTTCGGGATTGGGGATTTATTGCTCACGGTGCCAACGTAGAAAACATGTTTGCGAACCTTGGGATTGCGATCCGGAGGAGTAAAATGCCTAACAGCGTGAAATGGTGACCAAAGTTTTCGGGGTCTAGGCTACATAAAAGAGATATGCATTCATCTCCAAGGGATGTGCCGCTGGTTGGCCATAGATGCGGACTTTCCCGAACAACACGGGCAAGAACTCCAAGAACGGCTGGTCAACTGCAAGAACGGCGAGTCACCTGTGCGTTGACCATGATGCTGGGAGTTGCTGTAAATTCTTACATACTTACCAATGTCATGTATGCCGTGGGTTTCCTGAATGTGGCCATACCATAACTCACCCCAGAATCCTATTCTAATTATTTCAGGCCGTTATCCTAAAATTCTATCATAAAATGCACTGTTGTAGAACCCGTATGTATTACATAGTTTAAATTAATTAACTTTTGCAAGCAGTTCTTTTCGAATTTTCAATTCTCCTCCATCCGGATCGCTTTCGGAGTCGAAGCCGCAAGCCTTAAGGTTTAGGGTTTAAGATTTAGGGTAGCCTTGGCATGGGTGTGCCGCCGAGAACAGCTCAGAATTAGTATAGAAGCAGGTCATGGCTTGGTGATTATAGGCATGTTAAGTGGGTTTTGTTTCACTCTGAAGCCTAAACCCTGAACCACGCCTGGAACCCGAAACCGCACTCTTCCATTGCCTAAACCCTAAAGCCTTCAACTTACTTGCTAGGCGGGAGAAGTTGAATTTTTGGGGGTCTGTATATTTAGCCCTTACTCAAGAGATTCAATAGCTTGGACTTTGGTGATTGAAGAAGAGAGTAAAACCTTAACCACCGAACCTTACCCCGAAATCCTTCACGACTGTAAGCCTGAACCCCTAAATCAGCCTTCGCATACTCTGCCGCGAGGCCGAGCTGTCTGAAGCCCTGAACCCCAAGCCGTAAGCGCTTAAAGGGAACTCCAGAAAGTTGGAATATTGGTTTCAGGGTAGGATACCTTATAATTTACCATAAAGGGTTTAGGATAATCATATTCCAACTTTCTGGCTTCGACTGTAGGCGCTTAACCCTACCTGAACCCTAAGCGGCATACCTTTCTTGAGGCTCCGTACCTTGATTTCTCCATATACATCCTTCAAAAGGTAGGTTTTCTTGGGTCCAGGTTTTATAGGGGCCTCAATAATTTCCTATACTAATTTGGAGGCTCCTTATTAAACTTATAGTATAGCATGACCCCAAAACCCCGTTCTAATTACTACGGCCCGCACATTTAAACCCATACCTCTCATAGAAATCTGTATCGACCACCCCTTCAAAGGAACCCTTACAGGAACCCTAAACCCAACCGGCAACGTCAAGTTGCCCTGCTCTCCTCTGGTGAGGCGACGGTCCATCTCACATGCAATCCTCGGCTTTTTGGCTCCAGCTTCGCTGTAAGGGTCCATAGGACCCAAGGTTTGGGGTTAGGGTTTAGGGTTTAGGGTTCAGGGTTTAGGGTTTATATAGGGGTTTGGGGTTAGGGTTTAGGGTTCAGGGTTTAGGGTTTATATAGGGGTTTAGGGTTTAGGGTTTAGGGTTCAGGGTTTAGGGTTTATATAGGGGTTTGGGGTTAGGGTTTAGGGTTCAGGGTTTAGGGTTTATATAGGGGTTTAGGGTTTAGGGTTTAGGGTTCAGGGTTTAGGGTTTATATAGGGGTTTAGGGGTTAGGGTTTACCCCAGAAAGTTGGAACAAGGGTTCAGGGTTTAGGGTTTATATGGGGGTTTAGGGGTTTAGGGGTTTAGGTTCTACACCAGAAAGTTGGAACATGGATTTAGGATGATTGGTGCTAGGATCCCTTGTGCTCTACACCAGGGGCCGGGGGATCCAACTTTCTGGCACCGTTCTTGTTTGGGGGTTTCTGAAAATTAGGGGTACCTTGTTTGGGGGTTCTTATAATAAGGATCCGACTATTTAGGGTACTATACTAGGGTCCCCTATTTTCGGAACCCCCCATTTGGGTTTAGGTAGGAGTTATGTAGGTTGATGTTTGGGCGTGTATATGACTAGCAGGTACTTGGACCCTTAGGGGCAGGCTTCTGGATTTCGGATTTCGGATGTATGTAAGGCCCCTTTTTGTACGGCCTTTTTGGGGGTATGTTTTGAACAACGTATGGGGTTTATCTAGGGTTCTCATGGTTTCTTGGCGCAGGATGTATTTGTGGGGGCCTTAGCTCTGGGTTGTATTGACTGGAACTGTTGTTTTCCAACCCCCAACCCCGATGTCACCTGATGCTGCAACCTTGAACGGCCACCATGGCTCAGTTTCTCCCCAAACCCTGCTCCCTAAACTCTATCTGCTTCAGTGTATGCCGTAATGACGGCTGAGCCTCTGCAGAAAAGGCCCATTGCAATTGAAAAAAACACTCCCTAAACCTTAATCCCGAAACCCTAAACCCGAAGTGTTCAACGGATCCGCCGACCTAGCAGTTATGAGTAGAACTCAAAAAGATGGCCCGAACCAGTGTAGCCTACCCTCTGGTTCCCAGAACTCACTGGGCGTAGGGCTCAGGGGTTGTAGGGGCTCAGGGGTTAACGGTTTAGGGTCTACTGGCAACGACTTCCGGTCCTAAAGCTGTTATGCAGCATGCAGCAAGCCTGCGTAATTGCAACTACCTTCCTAAATTTTTTTGTTAGGTACAATCGACTCTCGCCCAGAAATCTGTTCTAGTTCATCCCTGCCCGCATGTTACTTACCAAATCTTGTAATCTTTCGAGTTAGGGACCCGAACAGCTGGTGCTGTCCAGTTCCTATCGTCGTCGGAATCGGGGACAACAACAGGCAGGGTTTACGAGTCAGGCTTTCGGAAGTACCTAGAGGCTCCGTTGTAGTTCCCTTGTTGGGATTACCTTATAGGATCCTAAATATTATATTAATTATATTTTAAACCACTAAAAGGAGCTACTGTGGAGCCTCTAGGTAGAATTGGGTTTAGGGTTTAGGGCTTAGGGTTCTCCGCTTTTTGGGGCGTGGGTCCCGCGTGGGTTACGGAATTCGGGAGTTGAGGGTTGACGATATCAGGCTCTGGAGTCAGAGGTTGGAATTTCAGGATTCAGGCTTAGGGTTTAGGGGTTTAGGGCCTTAGGGGTTTAGGGTTTAGGGGTTTAGGGTTTAGGGGTTTAGGGTTTAGGGGGTTTCCGTATCTCAGAATCTTGGGATTGGCGAGGTCTTGCGTCAATATGCTGAAGTCTCTGCAACTCAAGTATCCCCGCCTGAAAGAATCACGGATCTCCGGCGGGCTTAGGCTTGATTTCAGGTTTAGGCTGTCCCTGGCTGTTTCTTGATGGTCTTTTGGTGTTTTGTGTTTTTTTCTGGTGGTCGTGGCCATCCTGGTCGTGTTGGGTAGTCCTTAGTGGTTGTGCTCGTCAGGGTCGTCGGGGTCTGTCGTCGTGGTAGCACTGTGGTTCTTCCTACGGGTAAGCTAGTGACTGGTGGGTATTCTATTCTTTCTTGGATTGGCTTTAGGAGGTTCTCCTGTACGAGTGTATCCTCAGAGCCTCTCCCAGCAGGAAGTTCCGGGGGTTTGTTTGGTGTATATAGGGGTCTTCATTGGGAACTAGGGTTTAGGGTTCAGTGTAACCCTAAACCCCTAAACTCTAAACCCCTAAACCCCTAAACCCTAAATCCCTAAAACCCTAAACCCTAAACCCCTAATCCCTAAACCCCTAAACCCTAAACCCCTAAACCCCTAAAACCCTAAACCTTAAACCCCAAACCCCTAAACCCCTAAATCCTAAAGCCCTAATCCCTAAAACCCTAAATCCTAAACCCCTAAGCCCTAAAACCCTAAATCAGGCGCCGCTGCTGATGCTGCATTGAAGGCGCCATGGCCTGCAGGTCGACCTGCGGATCCAAAAACCTATCGTTTTAAGGGTCAGACCCTCTAACTAAGGGGTCATAACCTACTATTTTGTAGGGTTTGGGGATCGCTTCGAAGATTGGTCCTCAGATGAACAAACGGGGTTTAGGGGTTTAGGGTGTACGGTTTTACGGTTTCAGGGTCAACCTGGTTAGTGGATGGGTTCATGAACCGGGTTTTTTACGTTATGCTGGTTATGCTCGACTAAGCTGTGAACCCTCGGAGGGGTTCCATGACGAACCCTAAACCCGAAACCCTAAACTTTAGTAGAAAAACAAGCAAACTCTAAACAGCAGTGGTGTAGGGGTTCACGTTCAGGGTTTAGGGTCTTCGGAGTCTGGGAGTCCCGTACATGCACGCCGAAACACATAAGACCTTCGGGCTACGGGGGGAAAGTAGAGCTTGTCTGTGGAGAAGGGTTTTCGTTCAGGGTTCGGGAATGAATGCCCATATCTCTTTTCCGAATGCTAGGCTTTCCAGCTGCAGCTAAGGATGTGTCAAGTTCGCCATCTGGCTGCCATTTGTGGCTTTTGCCTAAAGGCGAGAGAGCCATTGTCAGCATCTGACTTTCATGCCAACCGGCGAGTGAGAGCTGTCATCCCCTGGCACGTACAGTCAGGTGCATCAGCTGTCAAGGTATGATACATGAGATACATGTTTTCTTTCACGTGCGTGTCACCACAACTCTGGTCAAATACAAGAGGGTAAAGGACAGCCGTTCCGAACTCTTGTGGACCATCGTGTCGGTGATTTTGTATTTACCCAGTGGGTGTACTCGTCGAAACGTTTTTGAGCGTTTGAGGGTATTTAGTTAGTGAAACCACCCAAAGCCATACTAAGCCTGAAACCTGAGACCCAAACCCAGAACTCCAAACTTTCAAGCCGTAAACCACAAACTCTAAACCCCCAACCCCAAACCTCAGAACATAAACCCTGAACCATCAAGCCCGAAAGCGTTGAGCTGTATGTGAGGCCTTATATTCCATAGCTCAAGGGTCGGGGGATTTCTACCTCCGATCTGGAGGACTGAACAGGCACTGAGGCTGATGGTTACCCCGAAGGGTCCATCTACAAAGAGGGCTCCTCTAAGGGTACCATAAGGGTTCTATAAGGGCACCAGAAGGGTTTAGGGTTGCAGGCTCAAGGGTTCATGTACCCCCAAAAAAAGCTTTGGCACAAAGTGCCTATACACGGACCACTCTAAGGCCCAAGTATATGCCATGCGGGCACATTTACCCTTAGGGCACGATAAGGGTTACTACAAGGGTTGAGGCAATGGCTTTAGGTTCATGGTTTGGGGGACTTGGTACATACATATTAAGTAGAGATAAGTGCCCTAAGTGGGATCCTTATTGGGGTGCTGGTTGTTTGCTATAGAATAACTACCCACTCAGTCGCGCTAATGGCTCCTAGTCCTAAACTCGAAACCCTAAACTTAAACGCCCAAAGCCATGTAGAAACCCATAGCTTAGAAGCAAAGTAGCCTTTAACCTTGTAAGGGGTTAATGTAATCCTAAGGTAATGGAAAATGTTAACTTTTTTGGGCTAGGATAAAGCCCCTATGACCCCAAGGGTCCAAGTACCCAATAATCATATACTTTCCAAAATCCTAACCGACAAGGGTTTAGGGTTTAGGGCTACAAAGCTACTATCCCTTGTGAAGATGCACACCCAGACCTTCCAAAATCCTTTAATTAAGGAATATACCTTAAATTATATTAGGGATCCTACTATAGTTTAAGGTATATTCCTTAATTAAGGGATCCTACTATAATTTAAGGTATATATTCCTTAATTAAGGGATCCTACTATAATTTAAGGTATATATTCCTTAATTAAGGGATGTTGGAAGGTCTGGGCACTCCGAGGTCCCCAACCTTACACGGGGTTTAGGGTTTTTAGGGTTGGGGCTTAGGGGTTTAGGGGGTTTAGGGGGTTTAGGGGGTTTAGGGAGTTTAGGGGGTTTAGGGGGTTTAGGGGGTTTAGGGTTCAAGGTTTAGGGCTGGGTTTAGGGTTAGGGTTTAGGTTCAGGGTTTGGGGTTTAGGGTTGTTCTGGCTCCTATCTGAGTAAGCGGGATTCCTGTCACAAGCCTTTTCAACCTGTAGTTTATGTGGTTTTTGCTTGGTGACTGCAACATCATGTTTCTCTTACCCAGACCCCCGGGAGGATCTACAAAGTAGATCCCCTAATTTGGTGCCATATACTACAACGGGTACTTTATAGGAACCCCCCATTAAGGGATCTACTTGTTCGATCCTCCCGGGGGTCTGGGTAAGCCCTAAACTCTGAGCCGTTTTGGGGCTTCCCCGGATGATCTAAGACTAGGCGAGATTGAGATCGTTGCCATAAGCGGCGGCTGTGTTTTGGGTTCGGGGTCTAGGCTTTGTGCCAGATTGCATGTCTAGGACCTAGAGTAGGCCCTTATTCCCTTTTTTGGGGGTTCCGGTTCCCTTATAAGCCCCTTTAAACCAAAAAGGGCACCCTTTTTATTCCTAGGCTACTCTTGGGTCTAGCATGTAGACTTCCACCTATCACGGGTGCCGCCTTGCGGGTCGCTTTAACCCTAAGGCTCTAAGGACTCATATTTCAAGGCTTTTGGGCCCAAAGACCATATTATATAAGGCTTTTGGGCCAATTTGAGCCTTAGGGTAATAGTTGCTGAATTCGCACATAAACCCACAGGTTAGCTTCCATGCCCTGGTGGAAGCCGGACGTTAAGCGAACATGTCTACGAGAGTTTGAGGGTTCAAGGTGCAGGGTTTCTCGTTATGCTTCACCCTGAATCTTAAGCTCTCCTACGTAATCGCTAAGCGCTGGGACCGCAAGCTCTGAATCCCTCAAACCTTGAACTTGAGCCCTCAAGTCTAAATCTGAAGTGTACACCCAACAAAGAATGGAGGAAGGTTTGCTCAGTGTGTACCTGGACCTCAAAAGTATGTAGATTAATTGCTTTTTATATAGGTTTTGGGCCATTATTTTACCTACTTTTGGGGGTCTAGGTAGGTAACGACACGTTGTTCACCACCTCATGTCGTTCTCTTGGATTGTAGGGGCGGTCGGGTGTCGACTTTCGCGATCCGTAGACCCCATAGCCTAAAAACCCAAAACCCTTAAATCCTGTACGCCGGCCAAAGAAATACGGCGTGAGCACTTTCCTGACTTGAATTCAGACGAGTGTTGGACCTTACCCTATTCCCCGAAGACACAACCACCGCGAAATAGACGGTATGAAAGAGTTGATAGTTAGGGACCCTACAGTTTAGCTTGCAGCGCCATGGTAGGTTATATTGAACATGTTATGGACCGTCAAGTTGTTTCAACGACCTCAGAGGATGAGACTGTGAGACGAGAAGGCATCTTCGCCGACTGTGACTCAGAGCATTTACACTGGGCTTTGGAGTACCATACTTCAATATTTTTTTGGACTTGTTACTTAAAGGGAATCAACTATGAAATGAACGTCTATACTGTTTTTCCCTAGCTACTTCAAAGCCCAGTACATCGGAAGTGCCAGTCTGGAGGTTGTCCCAGCTGTGAGTTAGCACGTGAAGCCGGCTCGCAAAGTTCTAGCCCAGCATCTTTGCTATAGTGGATGGTAGCGCGTGCTACATGGCACTGTAAGAGCAGTCGTGACTACGTGCACTGCATGAAATCAGAAATGCAATTGCAACGGTTTCGTTGACACAGCTACCATCATGACCACCACCGGCAGCGGCAGCAGAAGCAGCAGCAGCAGCACTGCAAACTGACATTTTGGACTCATAGTCAGCTGCAGAACCACGGCAGCTTCCGCAACGTCAACCTCAGCCACTACCACGCCTACCCTAGCACCGCCGCTGCCACGGCCGCCGCCACCAGCAGAACCACCGGCACCTCCATCAAGAGCAACAAAAAGCAACAGCAACGACAACAGCGGCCTTTCCTTAGCAACCAGGGCAGCAGTCGACAACATGCTTCTGCTAGGTCTAAACACTCTCAACTACTATAGGGGCCTGAATAATTTCGAACACTATGTTGGGGGTTCCTTATTATACTAAAGTATAATGGGCCCCAAAACCCTATTCTAATTCTTAAGGCCGCTATATTCAAGCCTCGCAATACCCCTTGTAGTAATCCTGTAGACACCTTCAAAAGGATCCCTTACAGGAACCCTATTCTAATTGTTGAGGCCCCTATACTATACTAAAGCCCCACCCACAATACCCCTTATAGCAACCCTTATAGACCCCTTTCAAAGGAACACTACTTGGAGGATCATTAGACTTAGTAATTGGGGTTATCATTAGGGTAACTATACTTATAACCTCTTATAACCCCAATCAGGGTACTTATAACCTTACTTACTAAGTCCCACGATCCTCCAAGTGTTCTAATTGCTAAGGCCCCTAAATGGCTCAAACCCAGCCTAGAGCTCGAAATGCTCTAGAGCCTAAATAGCCTAAAAAGCCCTTAGCCCCAAGTGTGGACAGATCCTCCGTAGCTCCTTTCATGCAGCTCCCTAGGCAGCCTGAGTTGTGCAGACGTTTATAGTTGGGGTTTAGGGTTTCCGGTAGAACAAGTTCGAGTCAGTGCGGCCGATGCCTGAACATACAGTCTAACTTAAATCTCAGACTTCAAGTGTACAAATAGTACCTACTTTGGGGTCTAAAGTCTATAAATACTACCTTTTTTGGGCCATTTGGAGTCTTAGGGTTTGTCACTGTCTCACCAGTGTACTTGTGGTATAGCGTGCCCCAAGCCCAATTCCGGTTGTTTAAACCCCCTATATCGAGCGAAAAACATTCGCACCCTTAAACCCGAAAAACCCAACGCAAAATCCCTACCGGCCAAAAGCCAACGCAACACACCCACATTCGCGACCCTGAAGCGTTCAGCCATGCTAAACTCTATTTGAAAACCCTCGAATCCGACTCCCCAGGCCCCAAATCCTGACGTCTCTTCTGGAATATCTATCTATCTACCTATTTATTTGTGTATCTAGTTATCCATCCATCTACCCGTACACACACATACATATCTAAACATACATGTGTATAATATACATCTTTGTGTATATGCGTAGTCATATGTATATATTTATATATAGATATGGGAAAACCTGTTGCAAGGGACCCTTGCAGGAACCTTTGAAGTCACAAAGCTAAGGCTGGCCTATGAGAAGGCGCAAACCACACAGGATTGAGCCCTAAGGGTCCAAAGGACCCAATAATTAGGTACTTAGGTTTTGGATAGTAGTTATGTAGGTTACTATTTTGGAGAGTACATGATAATTAGGTGCTTGGACCCTTAGGGGAGGGTCATTGTCTAACGTGAGGCCATGCCAAGGGAGAGCAAAAACCTGCGGAATCGTTTTCGTCAAACCTCTGCCGGGGGTTACATCCTCGGGCTCACACATGAGTGGTTGTCAAAAAAGTATGTCCTTTTTTTGGGTCCCCTAAAAATAACAAGGACCCAAAAAGGGACTCTAAAATTGCCAACCACCCACATGTTGTTGAGCCCTCTGCTGCTCATAGAGAGACCAGAATCTGAGTATCAGGTAGGAGACTTTGCCTGAAACCCGTGTTG